CCGTTCCAGCGTCGCTTTACTGACGCGTCAAATCATATGAAAAACATAAAATCTGTGTCACAGCCAGCGAAATGCCTGGCCGTGTATAAATAGAATATGGTTAAATATAACCGAAAAGCGGCGGCCAGTATGCGCGCAGTCTACTGTTCGTCATACAGTCACTGCTTGATTTTCGTAGTAAACACTGTTATCAGCAGTGCTTAGGAATTATTGTAAAATGGATTTTTATTTTAAATTTACTTTAAACATATTCGCTTTTGAATATATTTGGTGTGAAATATGACGTAATAATATAAGTCRAATATGGCTAAAATAATATTCGATTAATGAATGATAATCGTCTAGAAAATGACTTCATTTAAATAAAACATGTATATTTTTTTCACGATGTTTGWTATTTAGTAGTTAATTACATAAAGAATAAAAATGATGGGTTTTTCATTTTATATTCAAAAATTTGATTTTTTTTTATAAATTATTAAAAATATTAGGCATATAAAAGTTATAAAATACCTACACAATATAAAAACCAACAATTTTTCACAACATTATRCAGAGTATTGTTGAYTCATTGGAACGAAAACGTATTATCAACTCCAGATTTTTCCAATTTACTTTCAAAACAAATATTCAAATAAAAGTGATAATGGTCATCACTATACAGCAAAATGGTGTGTCAATGGTGATTTAATATGATTGTGGTAGGTATCTGCCACCAGATTTCAGTGATATGTCCCATAATTTGTTTGTACACACATCTTTTTCATACGTGCTAATTTCATAAAAATAACTTTTCACAATGCCCGATTGGCAATGTTGCAGTACTTGCACTAAATTAGTTTGCATACTTATTCGCCGTATATACTAGAATTAGAATCCTATCGCATTCATATGTTTATATTTTTTAAATATTTTATCATCAAAGGGCATATAATCCTCTAATTTTACTATTTTTAAATAAATATTTGAAGATTTTCGTGCATATTTAGGACGATTAATGCAATTTTAACAGTAATCTAATACCACACACTTCGCGAACGGGAAATAAAGCCACCGCCTTAAAATTTTTATATCGTATATTCGTGACATGAACTACATTATTCAACTATATATTAATATACATTATAATATATTACACTTTGATGCGAACATTTATTTCGATGAATTTCAATAATAATTATTTACGTCAAAATCGAGTTGAGAGTTTTATTAATATTTCAGTACTTAAGTAGTTGTTATATTATCTACGTGTTATAACTTATAAACGAATAGGCACGTGATGAGTATAGTTATTCTTTGTTTATAAATTTTAGTGAGAACCTTCTGTACACTATTCAATATTATTAAAATGAAACAAACTCATCGCAAAACAAAAACACAATATAAATATATAATATATCGAAAATTGCATGTCTAACCATATTGTTTATCTCGAATTCGAACGGTACTGTTAAAAACTATTCATTTTGGGTACAAATTATTCAGCACTAGCGTTCCTCATTTATAATTCATACTATTCGAAGACAATGTTTTTACGCGGTTAAGTGGTTTATTTGTTTTAACACATACATATACTTGTACAATATGCATAAAACATTTGTATTACAAAAGGCGATTTCTCTTTCATTTTTGTTTTATATTTATTGTGCTTTAATCCATTCATTTACATATTTTGTATTTGAAGTTGGCCAACTTGAATATACTATAATATTACCATTAATAATTAATTTTATTTTCAATTCTTTCTTTTCTTGTAATTGCTTAACGTTATAGGGATTCAACTAATTTTTAGATGATTCGACTACAGAATAGTAGGTAACTTTTGTTTTCAGTGATCACAGAAAGTTTTTCAAAAATAAGAATATTCCTTTTCTTTAATGATTATTCATTTTAAAAATTGTTACCTCTCACTGAATATTTAAAGAGCAAAATTGAATTTTTGAGTGATCACTTTTAAGTTGTAATATAAAAATACGCAATTTATTATTGTTCACCTAAATAATCTCAACTTAAATATATTTGAATATTTGACGTAAACTAGGTAGAGGTTAGAATGAAATGTATTATTATTWTTTTTTTTTAATTGTGTTCAATTTAATTATTAGTTTACAAAGCATATAATTGCAAAAAAAAAAAAAAAAAATGAAAAGACGTAGAATAGGATTTAATAGTACAGCATTATACTATAATATTGTTAAGATAGTAAGTTGTTATTTGCTTAATTTAAAATATAAATAATTTGAGATCTTTAAATATGTGATTAAAATCGATTAAATTCGATTATTAAATATGATTCAATTATATAAATAATGTGGTTTTACTTTATTCTTCAACAGATACTAAAATAGTCTAATTATCAAAGACGAATATAATATTTGAATGAAGTACTTTATTGAATAGCGTATTGTATGGTATTCAATTACTATAGGGAATTATTGGCAAATTAAATATAGAAAACAAATTGTGTATTAGGTATGTAATATAATACTTTTGCTGTCGAATCGAATACGTATTATCTTTTGTTCAGCACCAAACACTTTTAACGTCCAATAATAAGAATTTTAAGAATCGATAACTGATAGCAGGGGTACGACACTCCCTATCTTTCTATGTTAAATAAATGGGTGACCTTGGATGCCGCCAAGTGCCGCCGTGTTGGCCAAAAAGTTTTGATAAGAAATTAAACAATTTTGAGAATTGATACAAAATATAAATATAAATATTTGTTTTTATCGTGGTTTTCAAAAGATTCTAGTATCATTTTTATTCGTTTAAGTTTGTTTAATGCATTGTCAAGTAAAATTTAAAATGTATTATTATTATTAATGATTTAAATATAGTTCTAATTCTAAATAAAATATAAAGATACGTTTTCTTTGCAGCGTCCGGACGCGGCGTTTGAACGCCTCGTCAAGACTGTTTCCCAAACAGCGTCTAAACGCCGCGACCGTTCTAATTTTTTTACAAATATTMAATCAAAAAATAACCAAAACCAAATTTCTTGTCAACTTTTTTTCAAATTGTTAAAAAACTTTTACAAATCGAAATCATGAATTAAGAAAGCGTCACCAATCAGTCGATCTTTATAGGACTATAGGTCGATCGCAATAAAAATGTAGTATACACGATACATTATATTGTTTAAACTTCATGTTCTAGTATAAAAAAATGCAAATAAATAAATACATGTCGGTCATCAGTTTTAAAATTAAGAATATAGCTCAATTATTGGAAAAGGTTGACAACCCTTAATCTAAAGCCACATAATATGYATCGATCCTTGAAGGATTCACTAATATAGGATCAATATTAAAGGATTTAGGTTTTCCTGTCAATCGCTTAAAATCATATTACATCGAAGTTTTGAATAAAAATTATTTTATACTTTGAGCTTAAAAAATTTWMAAAAAATGMAAMATTTTGATACTTGCAAAGGTTTACGAAGAAATATAATTAAAAATTAAAAAGTTTTGAATTTTTTGTAAAATTACGTATTTAATTTTATATGATATAGGAACTATTTCAAACTTGAAATTTTATTTAAAGATTTTACACGCTAACGCATGTTTTATGTAAATTTATATATTGTTTTTGTACAAATGAAATTCCTGATGATATACCTAATAGTAAATGATTTGGTGTTCATTAAATATTCACCTATCACTTCGACAACAAAAATTTATTGGTTGGTAACAGAAGGTCGTTTTTATTCTAAAATATCAGGTGATTCAGTGTATAAATCCAAGTTRAAGTTTGGACTATCGAAAAATTATTTTAATCACTTTTATTTCAACTTAATTAATCTAATCAAATATTATTTAAAATTTATTATTTATTACAAATAAAAACAATTTACCTGTATTTTTTTAGTGCATTATTTAGAATTTTCAGGACGCATAAAGCATTTTTTAAGGAGATTTTTCAGGGTTTTATAGGGCATTAAATTCCCAGCTCTAATTATATTATCTATTACTATTTTGTGGTCCTTTACAAAAAATTCTTATCGGCTATCGTCTGGAAGGAAAACGTACCTTAAAGTATACCATTATACGAGTATAGGTAGCAGTTGTAAAGAAATAAATGCTTTGTAGAAAATAAGTAGATTATAGTTATTATTTYATGGTTTTACATGGAATGTCGATTGAAGTTTGACAATACTTAGTATTTACMTTCTGTATATTTAGTATTGATGATTGATAAATGATGATCATTATTAGCTATACAAAYGAGCTTACACAATTTATTATATGACTGATGACTATTTTGTTTTTGCTTGTGCAAAATAAATATTATTTATATTTTATAATCAATTAGGAACGTATTTTRTATTTTGAAGACACTCGTAATGATTTATTTATTAATTTATTATTTAGAAAATCAAATTTTACTATTTTCCGCTTCCTTTGTGAYAACGGTTRTGTTGCAGTTATTTTAACTGCATTCACAATTATATGAACGCATTTTAATAAGGTTATAATGATAATATGTTATACGATTGAGAGGAGGAATTTATGATTTTATGAAATTGTTTTGTGTTATAAATTATAATATTAAATGTATTTATATACAAATATTATTCGAATCAATTAAGGAGGTAATGTTATCAAGAGTATAATAATACAATTTTCAAGTATTTTGAATCTTTTGATGATTCAAATGTGTGAGTTATCTTTTTCACTTAGATATACCATACAGTCCATTATAATGTATAGTTATAAATGTATTGGCTTTACATTTTATCACATAGTTGTTTAGTAATGAGTCTTGATGTATAAGYATTTGATATATGTACCTAGTATAAGTCATTATGGTGCTTAATTATAAGTGTCCCTCAAAATGTTTCTCGTGTATACTTCAGTAGTTGTAGAAATAAAAGTTCTTAAAATGTACTGGGAACAACTAGGAATATATTGCATCAATGACACTGTGTCAAGCATCTTAAGTACACAATATAATTTAATATGTCCTGTTGTCTGTACTTCCGTATTATTTGAACTTACCTATGGTTGTGAACACAGTGCCACAATAAAATACAGCGTTTAAATAATTCCATTCTGGCTTGTTGTTCTGCACAAAAAAAGATTCGTATCTTCGAATGAGGTTTCCGGTTTCTATAAATACTGAATCATTTCTTTTTACGATTTTCTCCATTAGCTGAAAATAATAATAAAAAAAATTGGATAAATCACATTTATATTATCATCAAATAGTTAAGAGGTGGTTTTTTTTCAAAAAGATTTTAGTTAAGTCTTTACGTTGTATTTCGAAATGCAGTGCAGTTATGTTTTACTGTTTTAGATTTTTTATGTAAGTACCCATTCAAATTGTTTGTAATAATACATTTTCCAAATAAAATTAAGTTTAGTCTGTAATGTCATATTTATCATATAGAACAATTGTGACTTATAAATTGTAATCACTATTATTAAATCGTAGGTAGTATTAAAGAGCAGTATTTTCAGTAATTTCTCCATAAAATTTTAGATACAGTTGTTTTTAATTGTTTTACATATATTATAATCTGGATATCTCAGTAATACACATTTATAAAGTTCAATTTATTTTAAATTATGTGGATAAAAAATAATGGCTCTATATAACAGTATAACATAAGCAGAGGTTAAATCGGGGAAAAATTCCAGAGGGGACTAATGTCTCCATAAAGTTTTAAGCGTTCCATATATAATTTTAGGTATAATGTCTAATGTATAAAATCCTAATTTGTTTAAGGGGACGCTTTTTAACCACCGTCAGAGGTAAGGCGACTGAGTCCTCCTGCGCCCCCCCCCCACTTTAACCCCTGAACATAAGTAGGTATATAACTATTTTATTTGAATTATATGTGTTTTATTTGAGTTTGTATACATTTTATAGGTAGCTATACATATACCTATATAGAACGTAATATACCTATTGTGTTTTTGGAATTTTTTAATTCGAAAAAATTAAATAATAATATACGATTTTAATTTTTAATTATACGTATTAGTAAGCCTTAAGTATTGCATTTAATAAACAACAATATAATACGTGAATTGGTATTTAGATAATAGATTTTTAAAATATTTCTTATTGTTTTAGGAGAGATTCCGCCCGAGATTTGTGTTACTTTGTCTGCAGTAATTGAAGTTGCATGCAAAAACAAATTAATTCAATGAGCACGTTATGATATTGTCAAGAAATAAGATTATCAGAATATCACGATGGGGAAAAACTGCAAATAAAATATTATGAAGTTTATCTTTAGGTATTTAATTTGAAATACGTATAGTATTGCAGAAAAAGAAATATTAAATTAATTTAAATATTATTTGACTTATTGTGTAATGATAGAGATGGTATATAAATTGTAAAAAAAAAAAACATTATTTGTATTAAAAAAATAAATATATTTAAAACTATTTAATTCCTTTGATCACGGTTTAATTAACTGTAATATTATGTTGATGTATTTTAACTTTTAAGTGTAACTAATAATATGGTTCATAATAAATTTATTGATGAATCAATACTTACATTGGCAACATTTATAATCAACTGTTCCCTCTCTCTGAGAACTATGTTTTGGTCTTTTGACCCTTCAACTGCTTGAAATATTAGCGCTCCAGCTGCGCAATAACCGGCAGCAATGAAGAGTAGGAAGAAATGAGTTAACCACTTTCTAGACCATTCTCTGATCTTGTCGTACATCCAAAAAACGGCTCGTTCGCCAAAGCTTAATCTCGATTTGGCCGTGGAGACAATATCTTTGAATCCTTTTTTAAAATTAAAGACAATTAGTATCTAACAGGTACTTTAAATTAGTAAATCCTTCGTGTTCGATAAAATTATAACTCAAATGTAATATTATTTTTAATTTTAGAGCACCTATACTAGGAAGTATACTGGTTGATCAACATGAAATGTATTCTATTATTGTATTTATTATTGAATTTTAATTTAGTTTTACTGCTATTGTATATTTTTGTAATTGAAACAAATTTAGTTAAGCTATATATGTATTTTTGTACGTATATAAAATAAATAATACACATAAAACATGACAAATAAAAGTAAAAGATAAAAAGGGTACCTAAGGTTTTATACTAAACTATAGTAAGGATTAGTCAAGTAAGACAGAAAATAAAATTAAGCATCTAAGCTATGAAATTTAAATTATAACTATGGATTAGTCTATGTTTAAACATATTTAAAATACAGTATTTTTGGAGGGTCATATTTAAAACCATTTTGTAAAAAATATTTCAGTACAAATTAAAATAGTTAACTATTGTATGGTATTTATTTTAAATGTTTAACGTTGATGGTTACAACCTATAAAATGTGAACATAATACGAGTACCTACCTAACCGATATTTATTTTAGTATGCAGTGCTGTATTGTGTTTTAGTTTTCCAATAAAATTGAAAAATAAATATCTACGGATATAATATTTAAAAACAGATAAAAAAGTACTGAATTTTAATATGGTCATCGGGTTTCGGGCGTATGGTATAATATTTCTGAAAGTTTGAATACATTGAATAGGTATTAAATATTGTATATTTTTAAATCATATCCCATTTTCAAAAAATTGCCATTGAGCAGTGGTTACAGGTATGTTATTTTATTTAATATAAAAATACAACATTACTGTATTCATTGATTTATCTTTTACCATTAGGCATAGAACATTTTTTTTAACTTTTTGTAATGCACATTTTTTATACCMTTTTTCCGCCGTTATGCATAATCAATTATTACCTACAACTCATCTTAAAACCCAAATTCAATCATACAATATGTAAATTGAATACAAATACAAATTTGTTTAAATTAAAAAGATGAAATTTTAAAATTTCAAATGCAACCCAGATATAGTTATTTTTGTTGCAATTTATATAGCCATGAATCAAATTATCATATAAACTTATAATTATTTAAAAAAATAGGACATTTCATTGATCGATAGATTCAAAATTTAATAACTTTGTAAATATATATAAATATATATATTGCAACAAATAATTTTTTTGTTAAGAAAATTATATAAAGACCACAACATTTTTTTTTCGTGCTGCACTTTTCCATAGTCAGAGGCACACAAAAATAAGTCACGCCCGTTAGGTGTATTATTTTATTACTAATTACGTGTTAAACGCCATTCGCAATATACCATCAGTTGGTAATCGTGTTTTTTTATTTAGTAGAAATAACATTCGCTACCTACAGTAATGACAATTACGACTAGTGGTATCTAAAGCTAAAAAACGAATTTTGGAAAAGTTGTCTTAAAAAAAGGCAAATACTACCACCACAGTGTAAGTTTTTTTGCATTAAATTGCATATATATTCATGATATTCGGGTATATTATTATAAATAACATTGTATACAGACAGATATTTGAGGAATGAAAACCCTTGGCATTTCTCTTACTTTGGTTTTTATTTTCACATAACTCTTTATTGACATTTGACCTAACCTGACCCGATGTAACCTATTTTTGAACGTTTACGGTTCTTCGTTTTGTTTTTTTACACAACGCCATGTTTTTGATCATTACCATCAAACCAATTTCCCGGCGTTAAATTGCACCACATCAATAAAAAATACGGAATAATATTATTTTAATAGGTATTAATAATTGGACCATTATCAAACTATCAAAACATAGTTTTATATGCGAAAAAAATCGAATTGTACAATAACATAATATTATAATAATGTAAAAATGCAATACTCTTGTTAAAGCTAATAACCTCTGTAGTTGATGCTTAACTAATAAATTAAAAAAAAAAAAATAGGTACCTAAGTATAAAAATAATAATTCGTTTACCGTCCAGCTGTTTGAAGAAAAAATCGGTGGCTTTGTTGGACGTGTACGCCTGGTAAAGTTGCGGCGAAAATCCATTCGGGATGGTCGGGTCGGTGATTGGGGTCAAGGGCATGGGCAGGCACATTGAGGTCGGGGATGATGGGAAAAACTGGAATTTCGGTGGTTTCGGTGGTATATCAGGTGCAATCTTCAGTGACATTGTGCTGCGCGATAGGCGGCGTGCCGGTGGTTTGGGCACATCCAGCTGTTGCGCGTCGGCCGCAGCATGGTGTCCATTGTCCTGCTCCTGCTGCTGATGATGATGTTCAAACTGTCCATTTCCTTCTCCTCCGGGTCCTGCGATATAAATTCACAAAGCACCAGGCCACACAGTTTCGATTAAAATCAGTTTAATATACGACAACGAAACGTCTGGCTTACGCAAAATGTGCGTATTACCGTAAAATAATTCACTAATTGCCTATACACGTTGTATAATTTGTAATTTTGAATATAAGAATAAAATAAAGGAGTGTATGCGTGTGTGTTACTAGAATTCAAGTCGTTATATACGTTTTCACGTCTTTACAAAATGTTGACAATCGCGATTTTAAATCAAATATTTCTATGAAAAGTTGATATAAAATTCCACTTCTAAACGTTATGATACTTTTTTAGGTAGTTTATTTTTCTGTTTATATTCATATCTTATAATATTGTATGCATATTTTACTAAATATAGCTATTTAAACTTGAAAAACTCTGAGTAGACAAAATTCTTTTTCTCCTTTAGATTTAACTTTGAACTACATATAAGAGTTTATAAAGTATTTATTTGATATAAAAATATTAAATTTATACCCAAGCATTTTGGAAAATATTTATATATTATATATAATATATGTATAAATTTATTAGATGTGAGTAAAGTTTACTTTTAGTTTTACAATCTACATAAAAAAAATTTCACTAAAATTAAAAATCGCTTCTTATTTATTAAATATTTTTAGATAAATCATTTAGATTGGTACTACTGATAATGAAAAAATAAATAATTATTTTATATTGTATTATAATATTTAGACATATAGACATATGGTTGAAATCAACATAAGGTAAATAATACTTTCAACATATTTAATCAAACAAAATGTGCAACATAAATTGAAAAAGTACATACTATTGATATCAAAAGAACAAATTGAAAACAACATTTCAAAACTTATTTTTCAAATCCTATATAACATGTTATAAGTTTAATATTATTTATATAAACTTATGTTAAAGTCTTATGTTTTGATAAATATATTTTTGTTTCTTACAAATTACCAAGTTACTTCATGCATTTAAGTAGTTATTTTTTCAACGATTTTAGGTGCTGAGCACACTGATTATTGTATTGAATTTATTATGATGTGTGTGTTTTTTTTCTGACTATCATCATTCATCAACTTTTAGATCAGTAAAAATATTTAAATTTTTAACTTTATGGGTGGCTTCTGGTAACATATTAGATCTGGGGGAATTTTTATAAAACTTAGTATTTGACATAATCAATTTTCAAAAGCTTGAAAATTTGATATAAGGTTCCCGATAAATAATTAAAAAAAATTACTATAGCAATTGAAAAATATTAAAGATAAAAATCAAGAAAATGTGCAAATGATCTAATATTATACAATCTGTACCTATTTTGTTTACTACACAATATAATATATTAATGATTTTGTAAACTTTTCGTAAATTCATATTATTCATGCTAATTATTGAAAAATAGTATACTCTTGGATAATTTGTTAGAAAAAATTTAAAATTTATTCGGAAATCTGAAGTTTCAACAAGTCATTTTAAATTGATTTATGTTCATACTTTAAAATTTAATATTGTACCTAGTCCATAATTATGTCATACTATTAACTTTTAAGTAAAGTAACAAACACCAAGCAGAGAATAATTAAATAAACTGTATTGTGAAATTTAATTTACTTTAAGCGGTCAACAACTAACGAGGATACTTTATGAATACATGATAGTAATTTTATGTGATATAAATTACCAAGACTCTTCTCAATGTATAATTTCTCTATTTTTATCTAAACCATTGTAAATGTATACTTTTGTAACACCACACTGTCATTGTATCTATATCATGTACTTATATAATTGTCGAGCTATAATAGTTTTTACTGGAAGCTAAAAAAAATAAAAAAAATTATGTGATATTTTTTTTAAATGAAGTCAAAATTATTTTCAGATTAATAAAATATTTTATATGCGAATTCATTTTTACAATAACCTTATTTATGTTTTATAAATTGGAGAATCATTATTTTTTATTGTAAATAATTTAACAAAATATGTTTCTGTAATTTCATGTATGTAACCACATTTGAATGAAATGATAAATTTAAATATAATTTAAATTTTTGAATGTCTTTTAAGAACGTATTTTCCTTTATTTAACATATGTAATAAGAAAAAAATATAAAATTATATAAAAATATAAAAAACTGACGAATTTCAATAAAAAAATAAAATATGTAAAATTAATCAATACATTTAGGAACACAATGAATTGCTCAGTGATGTTAACCGTTAGACTGTTGACTATTTTAGTAATTTGAATGATTATGCAGTATGTAGTGTTGTGCTATTAAGATATAACTGTTTTAAGAACTATGCAAAATGATTTTAAGATATTTTCACAGTTTTAAATTTTGGGTTGTGATGTTTTTGGCTATACATATTAGGTACGCACTGTATTGATTTACAACTGCGTTCAGTATAATAATAKGTAGATACGTAAACTACATCATATTTTAATGGAAAAGTCTTGTTTCAATCATGAACCCTAATTGTTTTGTTTATTTTAATTTGCTCATGCAATAAAAGGTATGCGATTTTTATTTAAAAATATGAGAATATTATATTATAATGTTTAATTTTGTAAATATAGATGTTATTAATATATATTTATTAACAAATTTMAATTTTAGTGCAATAGGTATTTATTATCACGACGTGAATATGACTGCTCACTAGAAAATGGAAGAATGTAAAATCAATCCCTCTAAAATCTGTTATGAATTAGTTAAAATTATGCAAATTAGTTTGCATAAATTAAATGCTCAACCGTATGTAAGAATTTAAAATTTTAAAATCAAGCATTTAATAAACTAGTATTTGTTGTTAATGATCATAAAATAAAGTGCTTCTCTGCTGTTTTCAAAATGTGTACATTAGATAAGTTTGACCAAATGATGGCAATGCTTAAGGTTATTAAAAAAAATCACTTAAACCCTGCTATGGTTTTCAGCTATTAATTTCATTACAAATATAGAATAAGTGTTGTATTATAAAAATAAATTAAATCTATTCATTGAACCGTTTGATTTACTGCTTATGCTTTGGACCCATATTAATTTAACATCATATAATGCAGATCGTCATTATTTTATCATAAATTATTTTAAATGTCACGGAAAGCCATCAAAACTATCAACGATGTCAATGAGACATGCGTAAGTTTATTTAAATGTAGTAATAAAAAATTGTTATAGACAAATTGTTACAACACTGTTTATATGTTGAGGATGTAATAATAATGATACTTGTTAAGTTAGTTTAATAATAAATACTTTAATTTTAATTATTTTTGTGTTGTTTTTTAAAATCTAATTTGTATCCATTTACGTTGTATTGGTACCAGCAACCAGCTTACAATTTTTTATCACACATGGTAATTAAAAGTGAAAACCATCCTTAAAGAATGTTTTTTGGCACATATATTTTAATCAATATAAAAATGATTTCAATATTATGTTATATTATTTGAAAAATAGAATGTAAAATAGTACGTTTTTATCAAACAGTATGTTAAAGTTTTTTTTTTTATAACTTTAGATTATAATTATGAAGTAATTTCAAACCACTGAGGTCGGAATCGGAAACATACAATAACCGTAAATTTACATAATATTATAAATGTTAATACTGACGAAAATACATTTTATTACATATAGATACCTATTTATGATAAATAATGTTATTTTATTTTATGTTTTTTGATTAACACAAATTTACCCTAGGTGACAGGCCATTGGGTTACAATTTTTTTTACAATATTTAAATCAACAAATTTATTATTTGTATGGTTTTTATAATTTATTTTTCAGTATTGCTTCTGTGATAAACTTGAAAGTGGCCGAGAGCGATGAACTGTTGAGGCTTAGTGGTTCTGACAGGTGTTCAAATAATAATGTTATTGTTATGCGTGTAAAATGATATTGTTATGTTCAATATTTATGAACAATTTTTAAAGACTACAAATATATTTTATTCGATAMTGACTAATGTTTCTTATTCATCTAGGACTTGRTGATTTTTTTCTCTTCAATTCTCAACTTTTATTTCAACTTAAAATTTGAAATGCAATTCTGTTATTGCGATATAACTGTTAGTTTAAATAATTWAATTAAACTGAATTTAAAATTGGAAAATTTAACCAAAATAAATATTTAAGGTTTTTGAAAATCTTCAATCTAAATTAGTCACAAAGTAAACATATTATGTCGCATGAACCTTTATATGTTATTGTACTTTCTTATATTTGGTATTTTTAAAAATTTTGATTATCGTCATGTGTAGTAAATTTTTTGATTGGGTGTAAATTATATTATCTTTTTTTTATCGAAGTTGAAAATGTTTTCATTTTTAATTTAGTTTTTGCTTAGTTTAATATGTATTTTGACTTTGCAAATTGTATTGATATGTGATTTGTGGCAGTTTATAAATTTATAATTATCGCACATGKTGTACATATATTACACACTTTAACACCAATCATGCTTGTAATTAAAATAATAAATTAATTTTCCATCTAAAATAAAAAGTTTTTTAAAAACCTAATTTTATATTCATTGGATATGAATATGAAAACGTTAACATCTGTTTTTTGACGTTGCTAATTTCATAATTAGTGTTTACTCGTGAATTCGTGATGCAGGTATTTCAAAACTACTATATTGTACGGCATAGGCATTGTGACAAAACGTAGCATTGTAATAACATCTTCGTAATCCACTTTCATTTGGAAGAATAATGTTTAATATTACGTTTACTGGAATTAATGGCCATGTGTTTAATCCGGACGAGGTATAAATTTAACTCTCCTTTGGTACAATGATTAATTTCCTACGTACTTTAGGTTCGAGTGAAACGAGGGGGCTATTGATTTTATAAATGACTGGTACTTTTAAGTTATTTTTTCTGGTATTTTTTCACGTAAAAAAAATTCAAAATCCCAAAAAGTTTCACTCCATACCTATTACTACACGGCGTGTATTTATATTATAAATTGAACAAGGACTGAATTGGTGTACATTATTGGAATTTTTGTCGAGCTTTGAAAAATATTGTGGAAAACAATCAAAAACACTGTCTATTTATGATAAAATATTGATAGTTTTTCGGTTATAACTATGTTTTGGACAGTACCGATGATAATAGATATCATACATAATATTCAAACTTCAAATACGCGATAACTCCAATATTCTTTACCGAGATGAATGAATAAAATCGAGTGACTGTTTGTTATATTATGCTTGTCTGTGTGATGACTGATGAGTATAATGATTAATGACTTACGATATATTTGCATTAATTACTTTTATAAACAATAATCTAATCAATCGATACTAAACAAACATGTAAATGTTGCAAACAATTCGAAATKTAATATTCAACTAGAAAATTATTTTTTTAACATAGGATTAACATATATTATTTTTTATCCCCTAAATGTGTTTAGAATGTAGAAATTCTACTCTATACGCCTTAACGCAATAGTATACATAATAGTTAAGCTATTACGTATTATAAACTTGTATGGCACTTCCGGCTTCTATGTGTTGGATACCGATAGTAGACATATTTGTATTTTAAAAGTGCTTTTATACATTTATAATTCATGTGTTCAAATATTTGATGGGTATTTGTGCAGTATTACTGTATTAGAATGTTCAGATCACAGAAAACCATTGTGGGCTCATGTAAATGCCAACAGTGCGATTGCTAATTAATGCGTATAAATTAGTTATTTAGATAAATCCAATATTTAATATGTTTTTATATTTTTATTWAGTTAAGTCATTAAAATATAATCATAATTTTTGAACAAAAAAATGCTTTGCTTATTGATATTTAATTTTCAATATAATATTCTAGTATAATTAAAAAATTGCTTATATTATTTATTCAATGTT